TATTATCAGGTCAATTTCAATGATTAAGTTCATAATTAGAGAAGTCCATGTGTAATAAAATAACTGACAGAATTCTTTGTTAAACTTTTTTTGACATGCACTTTTTTATTATTTTATGAAATAGTTGCTGATGAAAAGAAAATTTATATAATATATTAGCAATACTATAATATTAAACGTAAAATCCAAATCAGAAGGCAAAAGGTCTCAAAACAGTTTTTCATGAAATATACAATGATAAAATTAGTGTCGTATTCAAGTTGTTAAAGAAGAATCCGTGTCATTTTTAATTTCATTAAAATTAGCAGTTAAAGAAACCTACACGCTGATCAACCATGAATTAAAATAGAAAATAAACAATCCAATTTCTAATTCAAATGAAATATTATCAAATTTCGAGTGAAAAAGTTCTTATCGATTGTTAAAATCTTCGATTTGAATCAACTACTTCTAATCATCAATTTTATGCAACTGTTCCGAACTAAAATAACAGAATTACCGAATCAAGCAAACTAATTAGAATCAGTGTTTAAACAATAATAATCAGTAATGAAAATATCGGAAATTTCGATTTAGTTCTTAACTCTAGCTCGGATGAATAAACAATTTTGTTTCAAGAGTCTATATTATCTTAATTACAAAAATTTAAAACTTATACAAGTGCAATTGGGGTCATTAGAATCATCAAAATTACTTACGAAAGATAAATTTACCACAATTTATTAAAAATTAAATACTTTCACAGTAAGAATTAGTGAAGTAACAGTAGAAAAAAAGGTAACAACACACAGAGAAAAAAATTCTGGTAAAATTACTGAACTATAAGCTAAAAAAACAACATAATTTTGGTTAATAAAATCAAAGTAAATTATATTTAAACCATTCATTTGGTAATTTTTCTGTTTATATGATTTCTATCGGAAAATTTGGTTTTACAGGAAATTCTTGCTTTTAAAATCATAGTTCTTATTACCAAACATTTAGTAAAAATACAAAACCTAAAAAAAATGCCACCAAAAGTTATGACAGGCTGTAAGGTATCATGATAAAATTACAAAACTCTATCACATATTTTAAAGCTATATTTTACTGTTAATTTTACTAAAATCATTTTAATTTCAGCAAAAATAAAGTGTTTCATTAAAAATTACCGAGTGTTCTACCAGTGAATATTTTTGTTGGTGTTTCTATGGAACCATAAACACGGCAAACTTTACAGTATTTTGGTAGTTTTAACCACACTTATTTTTCATAGTTGAATTTAATCAGGATTTTTAGAAAAATGTAAAAAAATTCAACAAAATAACATATTAAATACTTTTATTTAAGAAAAAAATACTAAAAATTATTTTTAATAATTTTTATATGGTCCCTAAAATCACTGGCTGTACGGAGAGATCAGCTGAAAGTGCATTTAAGGAGGCGAAATAAGAAGGGGCGTGGAGGGCTAGCCAAAGTGTCAGAGTCATAAAACAAATCTTTAACGCAGTTACCGCGCCACTCAACTCCGATACACTAGAAAGCTGATGCCACCGCTTTTGTTACAATTCTATTCGATGACAACAACAACAACAAACAGCGTCTTTTTTCAACGGCACCATTTATTACATTTATTTATTTGTGGGATACTGGCATCGTTTTTTCTCTTCCAAAAAACTTCTCCTTTTGCTTTTGGGATTTGGAATTTATTTATTTATTCTTTTTTTCTTCCTATCATTGCCTTTGGAGATGTTGATTTCGTTTTCACGTTTGTTCGATTTTCACTTGAGAATTTCTGAGTTTTTATTTATATATTTTTTTATTTAAGAGTTTATGTTGACGGATTTGAATTCATTTATTGACTTTTTCTTTATATCTTGAATCAGACTTCGTTTTTCTAAGGAGAAAAGTGATTTTGATACTTTTTGTGTTTACGATTTATTTCACTCAAATAGGAGGCATTTATATTTTGAAGTGTTTAGATTTGTCAGAGATTTATTCAAGTCATTTTTATTTTATTATAAGTCTTTATCCCTTAAAAAAATTGAGTAAAAAAATAACTAAAATACTTTAGTTTAGAAATAAACATTTGCATTTAATATTTCTTATTTTCCTTTTTTTAATACAATTTAAAATGTAAACTTAGGAAAGTTGCAGCTATTATGATTTTAGTTAAATTCAAATAATTTTTTTAGAATATTAGAACTAAATTTATAATAGGTAATAGAATTTATATTTAATAACTATCTTAAAGAATACAAGATGATAAATAATAATTTATTATTATAGTTTTTTAGAATAATCAATTATCACTTATTATACGAAATTATCATTTTGTATTGCTTGAAATAGTAGACAAGATATATATTTATATAAGTGTGCACCATATTCTTATAAATGAAATATTATACAGACAATATTGTAAATTTGTATATTAAATATATGGATATTTTCATAAATACTATGAAATATCTCATACTTTTAAAAAGTAATATATAAATAAGACGTATTTGATAAATATTATAAATGTAATTAAATAATTAGAATTTTAAAATAAAGCTGAAATTTTACTTTAAAAACTGCCAACTTTATTTCTCGAAAACAATTCTTTTTTTTCTAAAATAACGTTAAAAAAAGTTTAAAAGGATAACTAACAAAACTCATGAAATTTTACGATGCTTTAAAAATAATAAATTAACTTCATCAAATGAAACAAATTAGCATTAATATGAAAATTTGACTTTTTTTATTAATATGCATAAATACAACACAGTCTTTTGAACATACGCAAAGTAAGCTAGTTTTTCAGGCATTATTTATTTATTACTTGATATAATCATACATTTATTCCTCCCCGTTAGAGTCATAAAACTGGGGAGAATCAAAATAAATCTAAAAAAAATAAAATAAAGTTCGTTAAAAACGCTTTAGAGATAAGTTTACCCATAAACAGAAATAACAAGCTGCCATATAAACTTTTTTCAGAACATTTTTTCATGGGTATTATTAGCAAGAACCCCAAAACTAAAAACATTACAAATGAGGCACGGTAACTAAGGTATATGTTGACAAAAAAAAATTTTTTTTTTTGCAAATCATCCCACATCAAGTACAACTAAAAAAATGACAAAGAAAATATTTAAAAGCACATAAAAAGAAATCATCTCATTTTTTAATATTTACTCTTTTTTTTCCCAACTTCCCGGTGACAGAACGGAATAAAAACTAACTTCCAACTATCGCGAGGAACAGCATTTGGCGTTATCTCGCCAAGAGCGAAATGCGTTTTGGAGTTACGTTTTGTAAGAGTATCAGGGGACTATCAGAGGGAAAAAATATCTCTTTTCCCTGAACCACACACATCGCTGTGTCATTAGTGGGGCCATCAGGGCTGCATAGGAGAACTCAGAGGCCCCACCTGATGTTCCTAATTTCCCCCATTAGACGACCAACAACCCATTTTTAAAAGCATTTCACAAGATATAGTATCTAGTGGTACTGCTCTTTTGCCAACGAACTTGTCTATGTATATGAATGGGAAAACACGGTGAAAATTTATATATACATATAACAACGCTGATGCATATTAAGTGTTGGTACGGTTACGGATATTAAAGAATATGAAGCGAGTATTTCCCTCTTTCCCCTTACCTCACTTTCCAGTGAAAAAGATTGGCGATGTTACAAGAGGTCGAAAAGGCAAGAGTCATCAAGTCTGTAATTATTTAATTAGTTATTAATCTCTCTCGAGTTTGGCGGTGAAGGCGGCAATGATAGCACACTTAGTAAAAATTGGCGCTTTCCGCCTTTGCAGCAATGATTGGGTTTTTCGAATTTTATTTCGAAGTGCTTTGAGTTTGCTCTTGCTTTAATTTTTCTCACTTTTTTAATGTCGATAACAGAGTTTATTTAGAGAATTAATAATTGTATCTTTTTCGTGCTTAGTACAGGACAAAATTAAATAATAAATACATACTTTTGTTGCATATTTATTTCTCCAAAATTTTATACTGTTTATTTTTATACACAGCTCAAGCTTATAAAAAAATAATTGATAAAACAAAATATTTTTTTCGAAATAAAATTGGCAAAATTTCATACTCTATTATGAAGATAAAATAGGAAAAATTTGATTTTGTTTTGAAAATTGAAAAATAATTATTTTTTGGTTTAAATACTAATTAACACTAAACATAAACAAATATCAGATTCTTACACTTTATTCTTACAGATTCTTACACAAGTATTTAAACAAAGTAACTTAAAAATTAGCAACACTATTTTCATTCTAATTCTAAACCTTATAAGTGATTCTAATAAAGAACAACTCTCGCGCAATAATTTTTAAATTTATAAATTTTTCAAAAACATTTTAAAACACTCAATTTTTTTTCTAGAAATATTTCGAATTTAAAGTTTAAAGTAAAGCATTTTTTTTTTAAAAAAAAGTTTTTTATATTATAAGAAAGAGATTTAGTTTCTCAAACATTATTTTGAAGAGAAAAAAAATTTAATACTGAAATGAAACTATTTTTCTACTAAAATGAAACGAATTAAAGTATATTTGTGCCAAAATTACACCTGTCTTTGAAATTTACTTTAAAACAAATATGCTTTAGACAGTCCCTAAAATAATCCTAAATCTTGGAGCTTTTTAAAAGTACTAAAACGTTATACAGGGAAATAATTGAAGTCTTAATTGGGAAATTTTTCTTAAATGAGTTTGTTTTTGAAGTAAAATGTCTTAAATTATACAGTTTTTAAAAATAAATCGAGCTGGTTTAAACTCAAAAAGTCTCAAATTGGAAATTAAAAGTAAACGAAGTCTCAAATTATAAATTTGTAAAAAAGTAATCTTTTTTCAAACCAAAATTATAAATATTTAAAAAAAAAAGAATTGAGTTATTCCCTCACTAAACAAGCTCAAATTATAAAATTCGAAAACTGAACTCAGCTGTTCAAATTAAGAAAAATTCAAATAATAAAATTCTGAAATAAATAAATAAAATAAAAAATCTGACCTGAGGTTCACCATCTTCTGGTTCGGCATTGCCGTTAGGTGTGTCCGCAGATCTTGGAGCTTGATTTTTGGACAGATTGATCGCGACGTCTCCATCTTCCTCATGCTCCATCATGCCATGTCCCGTCTTAGGAACCTAAAAATAAAATAATAAAAAAATGTCAATCTACAGGAATATAATAGTAATCTCACGATCTGTTTCAAAACTCTGTATTTCATAAATGTACTTGAAGTTTCATGGACTAAGAGAGATGAAATTTGAGATTGAGACAATTCATGAATAGATAAACATCGATGATTTATAGTTTTTACTCGTTTCACTTCACTTTATCGTTTAAAAAAGGATTTCAAAGCTTTTTGTTTAAAGATGTTAAAAATTTTAAAGTTTAGATAAGCATTTAATGTAAAAATAAGTCAATGTGTATTTTTTGTGCATTGTCCATCATGAACTATATAAAATATTATTTTTTTTTAAATGTTTAACAATTACAATACTTATTGTAGGTTTAATTCACATAAAATTCTTTTTTTCAAAATGTTGGGAAGATGAATCATTAAATATTTTACCTAACAGAAGTGGTTAAGTGAATTCATCCTCAGAGTTTAAATGTTTTAAAAAGCAAAGTACATTTAACATGACGAATAATTAAGATGAATTTTTAATAGACTGAGAGTAAAATTAAATTAATGAAATAAATAAGAAAAATATTTACAAATAAACATCATATACACGTCATATAAGTAAAATTGTGTTCCATTCATTGCTATATATAAGAGACAATTAACTTTTTCCGATCTTTATTTAGCATTTTTTATTTAAAAAAGTGTATTAAATAGTTTTGCTAATTTTCATCCACTTTTTGTTTTCTACGATATTTGTTTTTCTATAGATTTTTAGCTCTTTGTAGATAAGTTATTTTTTGATGGCATTATGTCGTAATAAAATACACTGTTACACATACAGTTATTTTATGGCGATTTTTAAGGCTCTGATACTTAGAGCTTGATATTTCAGGTACTTTCATTTTATGATATGCCATTTTAACATTAAAATTTTTGTTTGTGAAAAATTAAAAGTATTAATGTAAGGAATTATTGGCGTCAATACTATGAATACGAATGTATTTATTAAGAAAAAAATATTATGTGACATTAAGCAATATTATTTTAATTTACTGATATATTTTTGTCATAATTTAAGGTGATTGCGGGTGCCAAGCTTGCCAGGCGCAAACGTATATTGTCCCCTAGAAAATGAACTGCAAAGCTAAGGGGAAATATTAACCATGCCCCTTCACGGAAAAGAGATTTACGGGTTTAAAGAATATCGAAGTAGAAATCAAACAAAAGAAGAAGTAAATAAAAATCGAATAGGTATTTAGTAATCGTTTCAATTTTCAAAATGATATAACAACTAAAGAACTCTTTAAACATAGATTTTAAATATATAAGCGTTGTATCTTTAATGATGAAGACAAAACGCATTTGGTGTACTGAGTCAAAATTATTGCCAGTTGATGCATTTGAATCACGTTTAATAAATGGTTTAGTTATAAAATGTTGTATAATTACACGGATTTTAACATATGGGTTTATTATAAAGTATTTTTAATTTATGATAGCTACTAAATACAGTTATTTAAAATCGAATAAATTTATCTTTGGTATGACTAACGCAATTTGAATTTAACTCATTACCAGTCATTAAACGAATGAAGCATTAGAAAAACACCTCCATAATAGAGTTTTCAGATTCATTATCGCATGTATTAACGGCAGGTGTAACCAATCGTTTTATTTCTTTTTGGAGATAAAAAAGCACACACTTTGAAAAACAGTTTAGAAAAAATACCCACATTTCACGCACACCTTGCTTAAAAAATACACACCCCACACACAGGTGGTAAAGACAATCATACCTTTTAGGGGAAACTTCATCCACAAAACTCCTCCAAAAAAAATTTATCCTCAGAGGAGGAAGGGAAAAAAATCCCCATCCCCTCGTTTGGCGTCAATTAAGATTAGTCGTAATCAACAATGGCGTCATTAAAGATGCCACAAATGAGCTATAAATTTTGATAAGCATTACGTCTTAAACTTCATTAAGGACACAAGGGGGTTATACAAGAGAAGACCCTCTTGGGTCTGCCTCCCTCCCTCGCAGACGATTGGTTCGTTTATCGTTTGTGATAGATAGAGAGAAGGTAAAGTCTCTCGTTAAAATACAGTTAGGGTTAATTTTTATATGACCGGAGAGGTTTGGCGATGCAATCTGATTGATTTCTGCATGTTTTCTCCAAATCGGGATGATTTCTGTGAGAAGAATTGAGGAAAATGGAGTGAAGTGATGCGGATCATTAAATCATTGGATGCTAAAGAAGAGGGTCTAAGACTTGTGGTAATTAGTCTCGTCTTTAGGGACCATCTTTGATTTATCGTTGCAGCAAGCGAAAAGGTCTAGGTAAAAACGAGTAATCGATATTACATGGAATACATATTATAGGGAAAATGAATTGCTATCATCTTAAAAAAAAGTTATATGTGCATAAAATTAAACATTTTAATATATTTCTTTGATTTCTGAACTTAGTAAAATAATAGTTTTAACATTGATAGCTGGTTTAGGTAACAGGTAGCAATGTCTCATAATAAATGCAACTGGTTTCCTAATTTTAACGTTTTTCATTAAATACAAATAAGTTGTAGCTATATAAAGTTATATTTATATTTTTTTTAAATTCAATTTAAAATATCAACTTCTTCTTTATTTTAAATCACCTTGTGATTTAAAAAGAAGTAACAACTTCTTTTTAAATCACAAGGTGAGTTTAATAGTGCTCGGACAAAAACTAAACAATGTTAAAAACTGAGCAAATATAAATATTAAAATTTTGATAAGTCAGTAACTGCAGGAGGGGGGATTTTAATTAATAATAAAACAATATAGTGCAAGTAAGGCTTACACTATGTTAAATTAATTAGAACGATGCTTAAAAATTTTTTGTGAAAGGTTTCATTTTTGTTAATTTCAAAACATTTATTTATATATTTGTGAAGTTTAAAACATTTACTTATATATTTGTGAAGTTTAAAAATGATATTCAAAAATAATACCGTCTTAGACTCAAAAATGAATCTAAGGCGGTATAATTTTTGAATACTTGGGGTTCTCTATTATTTGTTTTGGAGCTATTTTGACACATTTTTGCTCAATTTTGAGAAACCCTTTTTTACAATGTACGGCGAATAACGACGTCATAAACTTTATTTTTTCAAAGAAAAATTGTAGTAAAAGATAGATTATCTGACTCAAATTTCTCTTAAACGGACCTTTGGTAGAAAAATCGAGAATAGTATGGGATAGTAAAATAAGGAGCGTTTTTTAAAGTAACAACTACAGAACAGAACAAACAGAGGGTTTATAAATTTTTTTTTTAATTTTTATAAACTAGTTCTTATTGTTTGAATAAATATTTATTTTTCAAGTATTGAATTTATCATTTTTAGTAGCATTTTAATTTTTGTTTGGAATTAGAAAAAATGAATACACTCTTATCTTCATTATCAAAACATCCAGATAACATTAAAGGTCCTTGAATTACTTAAAAATAAAACTAAGACTTTTTAAATTCCTTAAAAATAGTTTAAAATCATCAAAAATGTGCGAACAACTTAAAAATATATTTGTAATAGATTTTTTTAAACGAAAATTATCAGTAATTATTCAATGCAAAGTTTTCAAAATTATTTTAGGTGTCCTTATTAAAAGGGCATTAGACATTTGATTTATTTAATAGAGTAAAAGACATATAACAACATAGTACTATGATGAAAGTATAAAATGCAAGTTTTCAGAAAGAAAATAGCATCACCTTTTCAATTTATTGACTTAGCTAATTCAATGAACCAAACACAATAAATACTTTAAAAATTTCTGGGTTTTCATTTAGTGTTTTCCAAACAAAACTTATTTATTTTCATTTCAAACTGTAAGACAACAAACGCTACAGCGTAGTTTACTTTATTAAAATATGTCGCGAAAAGGCAAAGCAAATTAAAACCAGTGTTTGTCGCCAATCATAAACACGATGTTGGGGACTGGATCAACAGTAAAATTTGTATCGGCTTGTATTCGGTATTTTGACAATATTGGGGGTGGAGGGGGGTGGCGAATTTGGTTGTTGCTCAAACTTTATTCACTCTGTTTAGATATGTCATCCTCATGGGATTTGTGAATTGTAAGAAAAACAAAAATAACGAAGTATCGGTTTTATCCGGTCCGCCATCGGTTATTTTCCATGCCTGAAGTCACAATTCGAACAGTAAACAATGAAAGGACTTGGCGACGATATTTCGAGAAACAAGGCTGTTTTATTTAATAAAGCAAATTGCGTCGACAGGAAAATGTTCAATATGTTTAAATTTGCTTTTCGTTCAATGCTGCGCTGTTGGCGATTCATATGGACAGTGTATTTTATTTTTACGTCAAAGTATATTGAATTTAGTGACGAATGTAAATAAGGGTTCATCAAAAAAATGTTTTGTGAAATTTTTGGTTTTATTATATAAAAATAAAATTTTTGAAAGTTATTAGATTAAATAACATGAAAACGGTTTCAATGCTTTTTAAAATATAAATGAAAGTTTGAAATTAAGAAGTAAATTGATAAAAAATTTTGGAAGTAGCATTACATACTTAGAAATGTAACATGATCATGAAATAAATTAATAAAAATTAGCAAATGAGTATTTTCGAACTAAGAGAATAAATATAGAATAATCTAGCTAAATTATTCGAATTAAATATAAGTAACTAAATTAGTAGAAAAGTTTTAATGCTATTTATATTTCAGCGTTTTACAAATTTTGTTTATGTATTTATTTTATTCTTTTATGAATTTGAAAACGATGATTTTTTTACATTTCACAACATACAATAATTTTAAAATTAAAATAAATAAATATTGTATTTGAAAATATGTATCAATGTGATTTAGGTTATAGAATTATATTTATTCAAAATAAATTCTATTCTTAAGCATTTATTAATAAATTTTAATTAACTCTTTTAAATAAAATAGCTCGAATTTCAGACGACTGGTTAATTAATACATTCTGTGGATTGAATATCTTCTC